CATACACATATATTTACACGTCATTATATAATATCACAGTATCCCGAAATAATTTGTTTATCCTTCTTGTCCTGAGACAACACTGCTCTAATCAAACCAAGTAATAGTACAGTAACATATTTATATTGATTCTCCCTACAGCTGTCGTACATTCCCATTGGTCAAACCTCCATTCATCATATTTTATTATATAACTTTGAGAATATATTGTCCGAACCAGTGATTCTATCGGCTTCGTGTCATTCGTTTCGAATGTTCAATTTCTATCTCAGTCCAACCATGCCTCTACCATTTAACGAGCTTTCACTTTCCAGCAAATCGAAAGACAATGCCATGGACTGCTAGTATCATAATCTCTGAAAGCATGCATTAAATTCTCTTTGTTGTACTTAATGTACTTTCCCTATCGCACCTCCTCGATCAACCTTTTCACTTTATATGAAATGCCGACCGCGATACGTATACAAACGCATAATCTTTATAGCTGAGAGCTTTTAATATTGAGCGTAAGTCTACTGCGCCTTATAATCAATAGCCCTTCCTCATTAATAGTACAATTTCAAGTAATTATCAAGTGCCATTGCTTATTACGGCAACTTTGATCTCGAATTTGGCAATTTTTCATCATATCGCCACCCCCAAGCGTATTAAAGTTGTAAATCGTCAAACAGAAACCTGCGTGGATGATCGTTCAGAAAGTAATTGCATAGATCGGCCTAACTCATTTATATAATAATCAAACAAAATTTAATGACTGACACTAAAGCAATAACTACACGTTCAATTAGGATAATGAAGAATAGCATTCCCATTCGCGTTATTACGCCTTATAATATTTTCTATGTCATGATCCAATATTCATCCATAAACACATTAGAATATCATAAAATATTACGTCGTGATAAATAATTAAAAATGTAATTCAAACAGTATAATCTATATGAAGATTTTATTCGACCATTGCGTTACTGGATGGATGTGTCGATGTTTATATTCAATAATTTCGTTATCCTCCTTTATAAATCTGTCGAATTAATGGTTTTTAATATGAAATATACACGTAACAAATTATTTCTTATATCCAATAAACATTTTACATTTTGTACGACATTAGTGTAGATTAAAAGAGAGTCGATTATTGAAATGTATGATTTGCCTAAATATAAGCGAGCTATTATAATAATATTAAAATAATAATTGTAAAACCTCCTGTTATATTGAATAAAAAAAAGTTTCGCTACTACTCATTCCCCTAAATTATTTAAAACGCAAATAAACTGAATTCAATAAAAGCTAATAAAATAAATGCTTATTAAATATAGTTAAAATCAATAAAAAAAAAAAATAAATAAATAAATATTCGTCTCATTCGTCGCAAATAAATTTGTTACTTTTTGCAATAAAAGTACAAAATACAACCCATGCAACAAACCTTCAAATTATAAATTTTTATAATTTTGTACAATAATTATGTGGAAACTGCTGTTTAGATAAAAAGTGTTTATTTTCTGTATCTACTTTGTGAGCGAAAATATTCTTGAAAATAAATCACTGATACACATATGTATAGATATTTTTTATATACAATATTTCAATATATAATTTATGTTGAAAAAAATAACAAAATTATATATTATATATACTCTATTTTTAAAAATGTCTTCTATATTTATAAAGATAAATTAAAACTAAATCGATAATGTTCGAGATATATGGAATGCTTGTACTTATTACGGATTGAGAGTAAAAGTAAATCTTTGGAATCCGTGTATCATAAATCAATAGTAAGACGAACTTTATTTTCAGGATGATTGGAAAGACCTACTCAGCTATTTTTTTGTCTTCTCCTAGTCTTCTCCAAGTCTTTTCCTATCTAAGGCCAAGTTTGAATGAAAAGTAAGAAGAAAGGACAAATTCATAAGTAGCATCAAGTGAAGTAAAAGAGATATCACTATTATATTTATTCATTCATGGATGCACAATTTGAAAACTTTAAACTAAATAGTTTTAGGTTTTTTTTTCTTCTTTTATTATTATAGTACTACTTTTTCAACTTAAGGCAATTAAGCTTTACAAGTTTTTGATGCTAAGTATATTATTAATAGTAATGAATGAAATTTTTTGAATAAATTTGTTGAAATTTTTCATCAAAAGTCTAAGATGAAATTATTGAATATGTAGTAGCGCATATGAAAATTCAATTAAAAATTTGATTACCGTTAAAACATTTTCATTTCTAATCGAGGTATCTTAAAATTATGACTATTTAAATATAGTCTTGAAACTTTATTGATTTTCAATCTAAAAAGTATATTTCTGATAATAGTTAAAGGCAGTATATACGAATTATAAATTATACCGAATAATACCGTTGACATAGATATAAGAAACTTATAGAAAAGTAATTTAATTTTGATAGAAAGGTAAATATATGCATTACTATTGATTTTTTATGTTGGTTGCATAAAAAAAAGAACAGGATGTAAAATTAATGATAGTGGGATTATGAAAACATGCACATTTTCTAAAATTGAGTTAAAAATATTTAATATTTATTTTTAATCATTTTTAATATTATTAGGAGAGAAAAAATTGCAAAATCATCGTAAAACAAATAAATTCCAATTTGTTATTTTCCAAATGTCCAAATGTTATTTTCATAAATGTATTTATAGATTTTTAAATAATAATATTAAAGTAAAATTAATTATAATTGTCATGAAAAATGTTTTCAAACAATTGATATTCGTATTCAATGTTATGAGTAAACATACAAATGGTAATGATATTTATATACTATTCATTATGTTATATACTTTATTAATAATAGTTTGAATGAAGTGAAACATATTATTATTGCACTAAAATTTTTTTATTTTTAATGTCTTATTCCTATCGATATTGTCTGAGATCAGACTAAAGCTTCCCTGAGGTGTTGAGGGGAGGCTTGTTGGCAAGTGGAATGGACAGTGCAATAAATAATTCAATGCGGCCTTTTCTTTGAGTTGAATTTCATTTATTAAATATTATATAATAAATAGTCAATGATCTATTGAAGTGAATTGGAGGTAGGATGCAATGAGTAGGCGAGAGTTTCTTTGGGTGATCAGTAACTAGTCTTTTTTATTGTATTCGTGGTAGTGCGCGCGATTCTTCAATTCTTGCTTGTAATTCGTAGTGATGGAATGAGATGTGCTGATAATGTGTCTTGACGCCGCCGGTTGCCGCTGCCGATAAGCTGGAGCGGCTTCGGAGGCGCGGTGAGCGGGGAGCGATACTGTTACGTCACTCTTTTTGGGCAATGATGCCGTTATCTTGATATGCTGCACACTTGGCTCGTGTGTCGATGATGATCCGTAGGAATGCGTCTGCTAGCGTAGCTTACGTGTAGTGAGGTCGATCCGTGTTTTGGTAGTAAGCCGAATGTGTATAGCTTACGTGTTAGTTGGAAACAATCTGTGTGTATTGGAGGTGATCTCTGTGTAAGTGGTGTTGACTTGTAGGACGGCGATCCGATCTTGATGACTGCTTGATTGAACTAGTAAGAGGACGAGAGCGTCAAGCGCGTCTTCTTAAATATTATCGTACAGGCTTACGATTCCAGTGAATTCTAGATTGCTCTTGTCATGCTGATAGTTGAAGTGACGTCACTAGAATCTAGCCTTGGAGAGTTTGTCGGCCCTTGTTAGTCGGAATTATGATGAAAATTTGACTATTTGAATATTGAAGTTTCCCGATTTTGGAGAATCGTGTTTACGACTTGGCGCGCAATGTTTTGACCGAAACAGATGTCTTTACCTCTCCCACTTTATTTACCGCGTAAATGCTGCAATCCGTAACAGATATTAATATACAATTAATTTTTTTTTTATTTTTTTTTTTTATTACTCTAATTCTTATTTCACTAATATTAACGTAATAAAAAGCTGTTAATGGCTTCAGAGATAAGCACGCGATAATCACAAAAAAAAGCCTCATAATTTCTTACATCTCTGGCTTGCTTTTTAATGAATAAGCTTACGCGTCATTACAGTTAAAGGCACTAATGGAAATCACGCAAACTTAATAATGCAAATTGACTGTAAATTAATCACTGGATTAGTTTCCATTGGACATTTTTCATGCATGAAAATGGTAATTATGGTCTATCGGCTTTTAAAATTTTATAAATAAATGCATCTGCATTTGTTCATGGAATATTATCATTAAGCACAATTATTGTAGCACGTAAAAAGTAAATTAAACATGAAGCTTCGTCTGAAAATATCTTTGTGTATACAGTAAAGTTTTACAATTGTTCCTGAAAATTTAACATCTCACCTTTAACTTAAAAATATATTTGAATGCGTCGACGTTGTGAAATATTTGTGTAATTAAGAAGTCAAGTGATTATTCACTACTATATAATTCACTGAAATACCTACTCCGCTTGCTCTTTTACATAATTCTCACAGACGACGGGAAAGGATTATGATTAATGTACACGAGGGTCCTCTTACATTTTTCTCCACTAATGAAACAAGCTCAACGAATAAGAAAAATATATAAGAAATTCAGTAGGTCAACCAAGGTACAAACTTACATCAATATTTTATCAATTATTCTCTACGATATTTTTCCTTCTCACAATATTTGCACATATTTGTAAATAAATTCGATATTCCTTACCAATAATTCTTATTCAATTGTATGATTATGATTAAATTGCGAGATATTCAAGTGAAAGTAATTATTTTAACTTACAATATTTAGTAATAATGTAATATAAGTACTTTCGTATTTTTCATACGATATTATATATTATATTTCTTAAATAACATGTGCATGTATGTTTAGATTTATAGTGTCCGCTACTAATTAATATATGCTAGATTGTCACATGAGATTGTGGTGTATTTTTTGAGCAGGTAATCAATGAAAAGCACGATGAATATCATTATTATAAAAATAATTGATCTATTTTAGAAAATTAATTATATGAATAAGCTTAATTATAGGTAAAAAAAAAAAAAAATTAAATAAAAAAATCTATATAATTGTTAACAGGTTTCTTGAGCTAGGAACTGTGTGTATGCCAAAATACCTGAAAAAAAAAACGATTTGTAAACAAAGAGCCTTAATATATAAATAGAATTAAAGATTAATTATCCTTCCTATTTTCTGTATAATTCCAAAACATAGGAATGTGAAAATATACGTACGATCGATCTTCGTCCTCGGCATTTCTTTTTCAATAAATGATCCGGCAAGTTTTTGGATGCTCTGTTCATCCTTATAGTCTAGTGCTTTTAAGCTGTTATTTATACGGTAATATCTGATTGATAGATGATGCTTAGGATTTTACAATGTTCAATTAGAATTTCGATAATTCGACATTCGCAACTACTGCAAATACGATGGAATTTTTTATATTATAAATTATTCGTAAATTTCGCAAAATTTTTTTTTTTTTTTTTAATAGCATTTACAATGCTTAGAAATTAGATAAAGTAAATAATAAATTATGTTAAAATTATTTTATTAACTATGAAGATGCCGATTTTTCTATACAAATTTTATTTTTGAAATATATTATACAATAGAGTATGTCCAAAGAGATATTGAAATGAAGCAAATATGCACGTTAAATTATTTATAAGAAATTAATCGTAGTATGAAATGTTCCGTTAATTATTTAAATTTATTAAAAATTCAATGTTCAAATGGATATATTACTTATTTGATCGATTACATAAGAAATAAAATATTTATACAAATGTAAATGTCAAGTGAGTAAGCACAAATTGTTCCCATAGAACATGAAAAATTTAACAATAATTTTAAATATAGTTAAAACGTAAATTTAATTCGAAATCTAATTCGAAAAAATTACTAACGAATACAAATTTAGATTTTAGATTTAGGAGTATGAATTGTAAACAAAAATATATTAACATATCATCATAGAATAAAGTGAAAAAAACTTTTTTTTTATAAAATCGTTTGCATACATTCAATTGGTATAACGGCATTGATTAAAACATTAATTGATCTATTAAAATAATATCTGAATTTTTGAAATTTATACCTTCCTCAAATACAAATATAATTCGTCAAACTTTATAGAAAATACAGAATAGAATCAAATTTTCACATGATTCTTTTCTTAACACCAAACATGACAATACATAATAACAAATAAGCCTTTCAAACCAAAAGATCATTCTATTATATACTTGATAAAAATCAACAAAAAAAAGTAGAAAAAGGATACATATTTTGATAGTAATCGCAGGCGTCAATCGCCCACTCAAGAAGTAAATTCAACTTGGGTCTGCGAGTTGTCCCATTCACCAGCTCACTCATGTTTTCGTGATCCAGCGATAATTTGCTTCGGGTTCTCTCAAGATTTATCAATCTATTTTTCAAATCCTATGGGAATTGTGTAGGAATAAAATTTAACTTTTAAAAATCAAATACCTTTTGTATAATTTGAAAATGTCATTTCAAATATAATGAAACTATTTTATCAAAAAAAGGAGAAATAATAATTTCATTGATAACGAAAGATTCTTGAAAAATAAATGAATAGAAATTTAATTAATTATTTAATTAAATGAAAATATTTTTAAAACTATTTTAATACAATTACATTTTTTACAAATATTTTAGTATTAAAAGTCTGTTAATAAATTTATAAATATTATAATAATTAAGTTAGTTTTTGTTGGTGTTAATTAATAATTAATTAATTTCAAAACATATGTACGTCATTCGAGAAATTTTAACAAGTCCTTTTGACATTATTATTATTTTTTTTTAATTATTATTCATACACGATATAATAAATTAATATAGCGTTTGTTATAATAAATATCTTAATCACATAACATATGTAATAAGCTTGTTTAATAATCAAAGAAAATTTCAATTATTTATATAATATATAAAGTAAAAAACATTGGACATTTATATAGTTAAAAAATAAATTTTAATACTCCGTAAAAGTACCACGAGCTTAAAAATAAATATTGACTTTTAATAAATTATGCGATTACTCGTTATTTCCACTAATCGATATATTTATCGTTTTCTAATGTTCCAATATCCTTATTGTAGCTTGGCTTTTCATTAGAATTGTAATATGCACGCTCTGAATAAACACGTTTTCCTTAATTTTAGATCAATAGTCGGGGGCAGAATAAACGGAATAAACTTTTGTTCTTAAGTAAATCAATTCTATATTACCTGAGTATCATTGTTCAACTGCGTAAGAGTATCATAAATAGCAACGATCTCCTCATCGATTCCCGCGTGTATTTTGAAAATTAATTGATCGCGTAGCCCCTCGATTTTAAAGAGCTCTGCATTGTCGACCTCCGAGCTGTAAGAAAGTAACGCCGTCTGTTGAGTAAAGCGCGAATTACTGAATAATAACAACAACAACAACAACAACAATAACAATGATAATAATAACAATAATAATAATAATAATAATAATAATGATAACAATAATGAATTCATATTTTATTCATCGGTCGAACTTAACTGCGCATGTTTTGATTCGGCACTGCGCAAATGAAATATTCTCCCTAACTCCATAATTACATACCTTGTTACATGACGAAGTTGCTCAACTTGGTTTCTCAAAGCGTTTAATACCTTTTCATTGCTCTTCGATAGTTCCTTCCAATTATTGTCCAGACATGCTAATTTCGAGTAAAAGTCGACAAGGCACTTGAGTAACTTTTTCTCCATATCAGCTTTCTTTTTTAAGGTTACCTATCAAATTATTTTGCGCATGCGTCAAATATATCATCTATTTAAAATTATCTGACAAAATAACCGTTTAATCTTCGAATTATTGACACACCGTCGATATAGAATAATACTATTGATATATTTTCGTAAAGATACATTTTTAGATAAATTTTATTCGGAAAATTAATAAGTTTTCAAACACTTTCGATACAAACAAAAAAACAATGTAAAATTGAATGAATTGATAATTAACGATAGTTGCTTATTTATTATGTCTAGTATTTATGAAAATGATTAGTGTTTCAAGTGCTAAAAATCATTCGTACTAAACTTTTATATACATTTTTGTAATACTAATTTGTAATCTGACATATCATTTTTCTTTTCTTATTTTTTTAAAGGATATTTAATTAATATATATATATATATATTAATAAAAAATATTATGTACTCTTTAAATTAATTTATATTTATCATTGTCTTAAATTTCGTTTGAAATTTAAAAAAAAAAAAAATTCATATAATTGATAACTGTACGATAAACTTAGGAGTTTGAAAATATTAGATTATATTAATTATTATCAATTCTTTTAATATAATAACTCTAAACCTGACTTTTTCGACAATTCTGAAATGTAAATTTGTACGTGAGTGTAAATATTTGTCGTCGAGATAATAAAGAAATGTGTGTCTACTGTAAATTTAGCCAAAATTTTAAAACGCACTAATTTAATTTCAGTTCTTAATGTTAAATGAAGTTGAATGAATCATCTTAATCGATATAATGATTATGGCTAATATATATATATATATATATATATATACAATATATAATATGTGATAATTCATTTGTCAAAGATTGAAACTGCTTAGAAACAAATTGCCAAAACAAGTAGAACTTTTGAAAAATATATTTTCCAACTATATATATTTATATTATTCTTTTATTGCTAATTTTATGTTGATATTTTTATTCGCATTGATTACAATTTCTATACGCGAATTTCAAATAATTCTATTATTGAATTTTGTATATAATATGAAAATGTATAATAATTTTTTATTTGATATTTCGGTGCAATGTAACGGTTTTTATTATGTACACAAAAACTGCAAAGTCAGAAGAGACTTTTATTTTATTGTTATTTATGTGATATTTACTCTAAAAATTCTTGATATACTTTATTATACTATACAATTTGATATTCATTTAAGCCGAAATACATATCGCGAATATATAATGAATTATGTTTAATAAGATAGCGCTTAAATAGAAAAGAAAATAAATAATTTTAGAAAATATTTCTACATTTGTACCTTCGTTTGGAACTCATTATCTTTTTAAATAAATATTTTGTTCGTTTTCTTACGAAGAATTAAAAAAAAAAATATTTAATTTATTTATTGAAAATGTATGAAATAATTTTAAAATAGAATAAAATTGGACATTGTTAAACGAAAATGAAATTCTGGGTTTTTTTTTTTAAATAAAAAATATATTTAATATCCAGGGTAATTTTGAAATTTCAAAAAATGTTTTCATTGAACATATTTTTACAGATGTTTAATAAAATCAGTTCACAAATATTTGAATAAATAAATAAAATATAATTATAAGTGTATATAAATCTGACAAGTATCACGAGTAAATATAATTTTTCTAGAATTTTTTATTGTATATATTTTTTAGTAACATTACGGAGTAATATTCGGCTTACTTTTATTTGTCTCACTATTACAAAAATCTGCAAGTCGGTTATAGCAAAAATAGTAATCCTTTCTATACGAATTATAGAGTTTTTTTTTTCTTTTAGATTATAGAATTATAGAATTATGAACTTTAATAGAGTTTTTATATTCGTTTTTCGTTAGTTGTAATCTGTTATAATATATTAAACAGTAATATAGTAATAGAGTTCTGTAATATATTAAAATAATTTCATTCAATTTAATAAAATCAATTTCATTTTCAAATATTATGCAATTAGACGTTTATTTGTCACAAATGTAATTCTATAAAAAGCTTATTACGTGAAAAATATAATACAATGATAAGTTAATAAAAAAAAATTTAATTATTAGGTATCAGAAATAGGATATGAATGTTTATCTCATACTTTTAATAAAATTTATTTAAAAAGAATAGCATACAGGGAAAATAATATAATTATAATTTTGAAATTTTAAATTATCCGACAATATTATGTACAAGAATAATATTTTATTTGAATACTAAATTTAATTTAATTTAATTTTACTTGAATACCAAAGATCTCAATGGCATTGTATATTATTATTATATTGCACGTTTTCTATCTATCTTTTTCTTTTATTGCTGTATTATTCGTACGAAATTGGAAAAGTTATAGGTTTATGAAAGCAAAGGAACATGTTCAAATAAGAAATTTGATAAGAACGTTATTTATGTGACTTTGTTGAGTTAAATCTCTATCAAACGAAGCATTTTTCTTAAAAAATACATTTATTTCTTTAATTCGTACAAAGTTTTCTCAAGCGCATTTCCTCGAGTATTTAAATTACCAATACATTTTCAATGTATTTCGTAATTTTTATTTAAATTTCATTAATGATACAATTACAAATCCTCCTTCCTGTTTCTCTGAATTTTTATAAAACAAAACAAGCATATTATGTAAATCAATGCTGGATCGAGACAATTATTTCTAATGCCATAATAACGTTTTTTATCATAGAATTCTAAACAAGCATTATGTAACAGCTGATGTTTCATTATTCTTCGATATATGTATATGGTCATTCTTTTAATGTAATCTATTGTTACAATATTCATTGTAATCTATGTTACCTGCTTAGCCAGTCTATTTTATTTATCAGAATACATTGTAATAGAGGAAAATGAACAAATGTTCCAAAAATTTTTTTCATCAACTGTATCATATATTTATTATTATTATTATTTTTTTTTTATAATAAATCAAGAAACATATTACCGATAATTGATAATACAAGTATATTGGAATAGAAAATATGAATACTAGTAATCCAGAGTAGAAGCATCACTGCACGTTCCAAGTACGTTTCATATTATTTCATTCAATTGTATTATCATGTTCTTCCTATCCTTTAAAAAATGTCCTAGGTGCTTCGTACAAAAGATAAAATGAACTTATTTTCCTTCTATTTTCACATTAAATTTACCGTTTATAAAATGAATCATTATATAACACAATTAAAAAATTACTATTGATAAATTTTTTTTTCGACTGTAGTATTGATAAATAAATCATAAATATCGTTTATATTATATTTTCTCTATTATTTAATATGAATACATATTTACACTTTATAAAAATGAAATATCTTATTTTATTCGCAATTCGATCATTGTTACTTTGAGCCCAATATTATTTCATTTTTACTCAATGGAAGAAATATTAAAAAACTTTCACAAGCCAATGTATATATAAGTGTTGTGTAGAGAATATTTATAATAAAATTAATATGCTTTTAAATAAGATAATTCAAATTAAAAGATTTTTGGCAGCATTAATATATGTACTTTCGTATAAATAAGAATTTTTATATTAATGCATTCATATATATTCCAATTAGTTTTATTTATAACTTATCAAAGTTTATAATTGCCTGATATATCAATGATAATATAATAATAAATTTGTATAAATAATTTTTTGGACTTCTGCAAATACTATATTATTCGGAAGAGTATTTTGTCAGATTATCATAATGTTTTTTTTTGTCTCTCTAAATATGTAATCGAGAGGTTTTCATTTATAAAAGAAAGACACGCTCCCCTATCAAATCCTATTATTTCGTCTGTCAATTGTTAAATAAATCATCAAAAAGTATATAATTTTTAGAAAGACCCGAATGTCTGAAAAAGTGCGAAAGGATGAAAAAGGTAGAAAGCTTGAATAAATGAAAAGGAAGTAGTAGCGAAATATCAGGTAGTATTGTGAAAATCCGGGGACCGCATGATCGATCGAGTATCGTGCCAAAATCACGCAAAAGTGCATCGAGTTACCAAAGTCACGGTTAGCTGCATTTAATAAACAAGCAATATCATTCTAAGGGCGAAGGCTAATAATACGTGAGAGGTGGAGGGGGTAGGCGGGTGGCACGCGGGTGGCTCGCGGGTGAGCGCGTGTGCGAGAGAATAAGCGTGCGATGGTGGGTTGGGAGGTGGGAGACAATGGAAAAAGAGCGATCAAGGTGAACGAGCGGAGGGTGCGAGTGCAGCAGGATTACGTAAAGGTAAAAATCAATAGGTGAAGGGGAGTTTGGAAAACCTTGGGGAAAATCGCATGGGAAACAGGGAGCAGGCGGAGGTGCGCGTCTTTCCGGGAGACCCTCCGGAAGATGGACGAAATCGCGCGCTCGCACTTTCCCGTGCAAAAGCTCCCCACCCCACGACGAGCGCCTCCCGCCGCCGACGCGACTGAACAGGAGGAGCCCCCCACCAGGTCGGCGGCCCTCTGGACGCGCATCGCCGTCCGCGCATTCACCGATCCGTCGCCGATGCGTCGACACGAGCGCTGCCAGGCTGTGCAAGCGGCATTTATTCCTCGTCTCTGCCCCTCTCGGCCCTCCTCGCCGCCCTCACGCTCCCTCCACGGCCCCCTGTCTCTTTACCCGTGATGTCGTCCGGGCGATGCTGCCCCGGAATCGATCGCTGGCGGTATAACGCGGGGGTGCATTAGGGCCGATCGCCGGACCGAAGCGCGCGTTGTTGTCTAGGTTTGTAGTGCCTTAAAGGAGCTCCCGGTGTGCTTGTTGTTTTAATTGGCTGGCGGCCCCTCGTCCCGGCCCCAGGAGTCGCCCAACATGCGCTACAGGAACAAGGAGATCGAGGTTGCCGACGAGATTATGGAGGAGAGCGAGAAGCTGACCAGCGGCGGCAAGGACGACATTTTCCAGGGGACCATCGGCAACGAGATACTCAATCCCTTCGTCCATCGGCTCGAGCTCGAAACGACCTACGACAAGATCAAGGTTAGCGTTACGACTTTTCGCTTCATACTCGCTCTCGGCGGCGTGCGCGCTTTTCCCTCGCTCGGGGTGAAAGTTCGGGATTGCTCCAATTACAGTGAAAGTAGCGTGTTTGTATTTATTTACAGCGAGTTGTCGGCCTCAGTCTGTCTCCCTTTGGCGGCCTTAAAATTCATAAGCTTTCGCGTATCAGAATCGTACGTATCTTGGCTGGCTGAAAATCTAGCTAAATTAGATTGTAATCTAAGATTACTTCGAATGGGACAATAATTTAATAATTACGATAAATAAATAAGTAAATAAGATCGAAGATTTAGAGGTAGATGAGCTGTTGAGGCAAATGATAACTTGATTCGTTGATTTTCACGGCTTTCTTTTCACACGCGGAGTGCATTGTCATTAAAAAAAAAAAAAAAAAAAAAAAAAAAAAAAAAAAAAAAAAAAAAAAATCTACTATTTATCCAAGAATCTTTACCTAAATTGTAATAAATATACTTTTAAATGAGATTGTTAAAATTGAAGGGCATTTTTAAGCATTAATTGTAATGAAATGTAAACGCAGTATTATTATTGAACAAGTCAAACAAGCCGAATAACAATGCCAATAATTAGCAATCAGCGATTACGTTTAATTGCTCGTTTCGCGAAAGCGTTAATTAACATCGATTTCGTGGACAATATAGTCTTATCGAGATAATACTTTTAAATTTTGAAAATATAACAGATGTGTAAAACACGTAACGATGAGACATTATTTGAGAAGAAAAAAATAAGAATGAACAAACAGAGACAAAAAATTCAGATAAAACTATTTTATTATATCCCTAAGTAATGACAAAAAAGCTTGCTAATACTTTTATAAAATAGTTGAGCAATGACGTAACGATCGTCACTCGTTCGGTTAAAAAATAATTCTTTCTTTCTTTTTTCTTTTAAATGAGTCGATAAGAAGCTGTCAATGGACGTGAGTCATAATTTGCGTTAATAGTTTTGTCGATAGTAGATGCAATAAACTGCATGCATTTGCATCATAAAATTCTGCTCTATTTTACCAATGCTTTTAGCAAAACCAATGCTTTTTCATACGAACGAAATGATAGATACGTTGAAATGTTTGGAAATGCTCGTTCCGCGCTCAAAGTGACTAACGAGCTGCCAATCCTATCAGATTTCCCTCCAAATAAAACAAAATCCAACATCCAAACAGCGGAATTCGACATGTCAATAAAGCTCCATATTGCCATTGCAATAGCCGCTCATTCGTAAAGCAGCAGGAGCTTTTGCGCGTTAAGTTTTTCTCGCAATCGGCTGCGTTATCGTTATAATTAAAAGGCGAAAGCGCGGAACGTGCACGTGAGGCTGAGTGCGCGGCGAGTCGATAAAAGCCGGGATTGTTTCGCGAATGCGACAGAGCAACGAAACATAATTAACATAACCATTGCAATTGGTCTTGTTAATCGACGTCTTGTTGGAAAATTTTGTGCAGCCGAGCTGACGTGCGACGTATCCCTGTTATAGGCGATACAAACTGGCCGTTTCATCGAGACAATTCTCGTTGAAATTATTTAAAATGGATCTAAGAGATGGATTATTAATTTTTACGAGAAGCTATTTACTTTTCAACTACAATTTACGTCCATTTCTACCTCCAGAAGAAAGCGAGAGGCTTTTAGTTTGCTTTAAAGATTAGCATTGTGATATACTGGTTTTCCCATTAATTTAAAATAGAAAGTAATTTGATAAAACCTTAGATTCCTTTTATTTTACAAATGGCAAATTAGCACATGAGTTTCTCAAACAAACTTAAGGTCATTGCTTTATAGTTAGGTTCGATGGCAAAAAGGCAAATGTTATTAATTTCCAACGAAAACAAATGTTAATACAATTTTATGTAATAAAACTTATCTTGAGAGGCAATTAAACGGAAAAATTATTTTTATTTGCTAGTCACAATTAGAAACAATTAAAAAGTTAATAATTCACTAATCTTGTACTTTTAAAGCACAATATTAAAAATCAATTATTAAGCTCAGAATGTAATTTATTTAAATAGTGATAATTCTCTTTTCTAATTGGTTACAATATCTGTGCGCATTCTTGTCATCCATTTGATTTTGTGAGAAATTGCAAGATTCGCGTTAACTTTCCAAAGTATTGGTGGCATACAGTTTTGAAAGTGAAACATATTTTAAATTCATTTCAAACTTTTATCTCAATTATTTGTCGGCGTAAATTCAACTTAACGATAAATTCATTTATTTTTGAAACAAATATTTTTCATTTATTCACTCGTCTCTACACTGCATAAACATTTAAACGTTTATTATATAATGATATAACACGACAAATTACTGCCTATTTGACACTATAATATATCTTATTACACTTTTAATAATAAATTATTAAAATTTTAATTATTTACAAAAAAATTTATCTAAACATTCCCTCACCCCCTAATGTTTCAACGTTTTAAAGTATTAACAAAACTATAGATAACAGCAAGAAATATTGCACATTCTACTTGCGTATTCCGATAATAACTTTTAAAGTCATTTTTAAAGAAAGAAAATTTATCATTAAAATTTATTCAGTTGATATCACTTCTCATAAGTAGGACTAAATTCACATAATTAACTCATACTTTTAGCTAAAGAAGTTACTCGGCTCATTTCTACATAATATTATCGATGAATTGGATAATTAAATAAAAATAATTATCTTAATTTTGTTCACAGTTGATCATTAGTTTTTTTTTCTATATTAAGTTATTGAGTAATAGTACTTTTGTTTTTTTTTTTTTTTTTTTTTTTTTTTTTTTTTTTTTTTTTTTTTTTATAAATGATACTATATAAAAGAATGTAAATATCAATAAGAAAATAATTTATAACGTTGTGTACTCTAATTGTGCTAAAGTAAAAATTAGTTTTCGTTCGATCATAATTATTGCCGAAGATGTAAAATTTTAGAGAAATATAAGAGTTTCTATTTTAATCATAATTGTTGACGAAGCTCCTTAAAGAATTTGTAAATAATATGCTTATTATCATAGAGTCTCGTATGCGCTGCAATAAAATGCATTTAAGATTGTAAAATAATTCTGTATATATCTCTTACGTACTTGAAAAATTATAGACAAATATTCAATTGCATTACTAAATACTTAAATACTTATTTCTCATTTTAAATATATTCAAATTTCTAATTAAATTCTTATTTCGTAAAATAATAATAATATTAATATTACCACACGTTCACGCATAAACACACATATATACATAATAATGTAAATGTAAATAAGAAAATTAATAATGTTTGTAACCTATAAAAAATTTGAATTTTATAATTTTTTTTTTTTTTTTCAATTGTAGGCTATATAAAGTAATTAAAAATAATAATTATTTAAAGAACAGGCTATAATAAAAAATTATACTTTTTAATCACTGACTGAATAAATCTACATTTGGAGATAGAAATCGTTTTTCATCTCAAATAATATGATGCAACGTTATGTTTATCATTCGTTTTAATTTAATAGAATATGAAAGTTTTTTTTATATTATAAAGGAATTATTCGTCGTAAAAATATTAACCCACACTTTAAAAATATTAATTTAAATGCAGGACATACTCTAATAATGACTAAAACAATTACTCGAACTTCCGTTTCTTTGGTAATAATAATACGGCGCAAAAATTACGTAATCTAACGTCAAATATTTTCTTAGCATCTATTACCTAGAAAACAACTGATACTTAAAAAAATTATAAGTTCTTGGTTTTCCATATAGAATATATAAAGACACATTTTGTTCAAATTTGTTATCAGAAAAATGTTATTTAACAAGTAATTGTACCTGAAGGATATTTTCTTAAATTTAAACGTACCTTGTTAACTAAATTTTCGTTGCTTGGTTGACAGTACTTTGTAAATTATTAATGAATATTTATATATTTATCATTGGATTTTTTATCAATAGACATAACAGAGATGAGTCATAGTATATTGTATTATTGCGCGATTTTGATTTACGTATTAAATACACAATTCGCTAATAAACATTTCAAAATCATCTGAATCTGAATTTTTAAACAATTGTTGTTGGAGAGTTAAAATATAATATTTAAATATATATTAAATATATAAAAATATAAATATTTATCCAGATACTGTATTAGTTTTGCCGTTAATTACAAGATAAAACGTGTATATAATGTAAATAATATACAGAATATAAAAAAAATTTCCCTAAGTGACGTCTACAAATCATCTAAAATAATTAACTAATATTGATTGTTAATAAGAAATTTAACATCCTGTTGAACGAGCACCTATTATTATTCCAAGCGGTTGTTGACTAAATGAGAACAGGTACTTTGGAGGATATTAAAATCCTTCGTTACATTGCTACAGCCATAAATATCGCCGAAGTATGATCCAGGCAAATGGTTCATTAAAAATTGCTAATGGTTGTATGAGAATTGAAATCTTTAATGTCATTTAATCAATTCAATCCGAAGTGAGAAGTAGATAAATGGGATCAACCAATAACGATAATTAATTTTCGAAAAGTATTTTTTTTTTTAGGAAGATTTTTAATAACTAACGTATCAGTTTTTAGTTATGAATTGCGTTGGATTAAATCTAAACATTTAAGGAATACATGACGAATTTTTTACAAAATAATCATAGCCGCAAAATGCAGTCATTGGGTAATGAATTCATACTCGAGAGAATAAACATTCGTTCAAGTAGAATATAGCATCTCTACCGTTTCGTACGCAAATCAATCGATTCTCAGAATAAAGACCTAAAAATTAAGCGAATAGAGGCTCAAAGTACCAAGTCACATAACCTCGAAAGCAGTTCAAGCTTATGCAGACAAACTAAACTTTCTAAAAACACAAAAGAAAGTCCAGCCACCGGTGACGGGTTGCCTCCTGCACCTCATCGCTTACTTCCTCCACATCCATAAAGTATCGATGAATCGCTCTCAGTCGAGTCC